AACCCTTGAACGCAGGGGAGTCTCGTTCTGGGCAGAGGGTCCCTGACCCTCTCAAATCTTGAGAACCTTCCAGGGGGAGTCCTGGGGTTTTGGTTTCCTGTGTCCTGGGGGAAGCCACTCCGGTCCCTGGAGGCCTGGACCCCTGGGTCCCAGGGGGCAGGGGAGGGGGCCCAGGTTCCAGGGGCTGGGGGAGGAGGAGGCTGGGGCCCCCACTCCAGGATTCCGAGCCGGGAGGAGGCTGGGACTCCTCAGGTGGTCTCTGATCCACTGCTGTGGCATCCCCAGCAACTCTGCCTGGCTGTCCGCAGGTTTCTCACGGGGAGGGGGGTCTCCATGCTCCCTAGCCCTCCTCCCTGGGCTCCCCAGGACTGGCTCCCTGGGGTCGGTGAGAGCCCCTTCCCCATCCATCCCCGGGGGCCCCGGGGCCGCCCCCAGGCGCGCCCTGCTCTCCGCCAGCCGTACCTGAGGGCGCCCCCAGCAGGAGCGCGAGCGCCAGCAGCCGCGAGGCCCCGCGCGCCCCGGCCCGGGCGGCCGGGGGCTCCATGTTCGCGGCGGCGGTGGCGGCGGTGACTGAGCCCGGGCTGCCGCTCGGCGGCCCCGGGGCGGGGAGCGAGCAGGCCCCGCCCCCGGCAGCCCCGCCCCGCCCCGCCCGCGGGCCCCCCTCCCCGGTCCGCCCCCCGAAACCCGGGCGCGAGGCCAGGACCTCCCAGCGCTCGGCCTGGAGCCGCTGCCCCCGAGCCCTGGACTCTCAGGCTCAGGCTGACCAGTGCCCGCGGCGGGTGGCCTGACCGACCAGTCTAGCCAGTGTCCTGAGCGGGGACGTCCCTGGGACACCTTCTCCCTCGCATTCTGACCAAGGACCTTGGAGACTCCTTCCCATTATGGCCAGTGGCTTGGCCTTGCCTCGTCGATTTCCCCCAGCTGATGCCGGTCTAACCAGCAACCTGCACTGGCCTCTCCCAGTCCAACTAGTGGCCCCCTAGGCTGATCCGCGGCGCGAGTGAGCCTCCCCCAGAATAACCAGGGAGCCCCAGTCTAACCAGTGGCCTGGGTTGGACTTCCCCAGGCCACCCAGGATCTGCCAGCCTGACCGGTGGCTTAGAACGGCTTCTCCCACTTTGTCCTGTGAGGCCCCTCCCTGTGCCTTCCTGTCTGACCAGTGGCCTGGAACCCATCAGTTCAGTCTCTGCTATCTAATAGTCTTCAAACCCCGTTCTGCCGAGGCCTTTGTGACCACGGCGGGGGCTGCGGGGTGCTCTCTCCTTGGTTCTCCTCTATAGCGCCCTCCCTCTCTTCCCCCCCCATCCAGGGAATCCCAGGAATGCCGCCCCCCTTCTTCCCTCCCTCCCCCCTTCACTCCTTCCCAACTTTGGGGGGAGGGGAGGAGAACCAGGCTGGCAGAAGCAGGTGAGTGGGGGAGGGGAGAAGGCCAGGGTACCTGAGAGGAAGGGGAGGAGCTTGGCCATGGGTCAGAAGGGAAGGTCACAGGTCAGACGAGGAGTCACAGAACAGACTGCCCCCAGGCTCCTCACTAGCCAGGTCTGACTGGGAGAAAATCTCCAGACTGCTGGCTGGGGGGCTGGCTGGGGGCGGGAGAGGCCACCGGTTACTGCAGAGAAGCAAGCCTTGGACACTGGTCAGGATGGGGGGGTGGCTGATCCTACTGGGAGAGGTTCCTCAGGCCTCTGGTCAGACTGGGGGTCACTGGTAAGACGGGGCTTTACCCAGGAGACACAGAGGGAAGACTTAGATTACAGGTCAGCCTGGGAGTTATTGGTCAGACTGGCCCAGTCTACTTCCTCCATCAGCGATACAGGAAAGCAACTATTATCCTGGGAGAGGTGGTCTTTGAGTATTAACCCACCATCCCCTCTTCCAGGAAGCCCTCCTTGTTCCCCTAAGCTGAGTCAGCTACCCTCTCTGGGCTCCCCTACCCAAGCCCTGCTCACTCTGGGTCATCTCTACCTGGGGACAGGCCTCCCTCCCCCGGTCACAGGACACACGGTCCAAACTCTGGGACAAAGACAGTCGCTTTCCCAGACAGCCCCACACGCTCCTTGGGACAAGTTCCCACCCTGCGACCCCACACACCCACCCCCAGCTTTTCCGGCCCTGGCTGTGTGTCTACTGCTTGGGCTGGACCCTGGTCGGCACACTCTCCTGAGCCACCCTCTTCCACCTTCCTCAAGAACCCAACCAGCCGAGGTTCTAGTTGGGAGAGGACCATGTGGAGTGTGCGCTTGAAGGAGGGAAGTCATAAACACCAGCCACAGTCCATCGCAGACCTGCAGAAGCTCGTCCCGTAACATCCTCAGCCCTTGTCCCCTGTAATTTATTCCTACGAAACAGGCAGAGGGATGCTGTTCAAATGCGAGTCAGCTCACATCCCTGCTCAGAATCCTACCCTGGCTCTTCTCACTCTGCGTGGAAGCCAAGACCTCTCCACGGCTCGCAAGGGCCTCGATCTGGTCCTCATCACCTCCCTGACCCCATCTTCCTCTCTCTTCCCCCCCCATCTAGCTCTGTTCTTGCCACACTGGTCTCTTTGCTTTCATGCTGTTCCTCCACCGCCAGGCCTGTTCCAGCCTCAGGGCCTTTGCACTTCCTCTCCCCTCTGCTGGGAAGCTCCCTCCTGCCCTTGCTTTATATCTCTGCTCCAACATCACGCCATCAGAGCTTTTCTTGACGATCTCATCTAAAACAGCCACTCCTGCCATCCCAGCTGCTCCTCATTTCCCTGATCTGACTATGGTTTTCCTCTATAGCACTTACCACTGCCACGTATTTATTTTTTATTGTTTGTCTGGCACAGAAGCTAAGTTCTAAGTGGTTTTATTCCCTGTATCTCCACTGCCTAGAACCGTGCTTGGCCTGAGGAGGAGCTGAGTAAGAATGAAATGAATTAACTTTCCATTTCCAGCCTTGCTGTCTCATGTGCACCGACGTGTACATTTCTGAGCAAGCCTCATCTTTCCTCTACCTTTATCCCATTGTTTGACCTACAGCGGGTAACTTTAAAACTAGTTCATGGCATGCGGGATAGGGGGTTCACGACCCGTTTGGGGGGAAATGGCTATTTCCCAGTGTTTCCAGAGATGCCTCTGGACAATGGAACTGTGGGAGGTTCGTGTCATCCGAGGCGGGGGGGGCAGTGTGAACACATTTTTGGTCGTACCGGATGGTTGTGCAGGGTGATTTTAGATAAGAACTTCTGGGGTAAGAGAATGTAGCAGAGAAAGAGACATACTGATGTGGAGGGTTCAAAGGGGAAGACCGTAGTGGCCTTTTGTTAGGGAGGGTCGGCTAGCATCCACGCCCCTTTCCCACACGTAGAAAAACCCCTACTGTCTGAAGCCATATGCCCTCAGTTGGAGCTGAGGTGGCCTAAGCTTGGCAAATTCCATTACCCTTTGGAATCGGGAGCTGATAATGTCAGAAAAGCAAGAACGGGCTAATCCATTCCCAGTATGGTGGCAGGGATGGATTCTATTTTCCCAAGATGGCTGCAGCAAGGTCTCCCATCCCACGTGCTCTTCCACAATCTGATCTGGACACTCTTTCCCCGGAGAGGTGGGGTCTATGTCCCCCGCTCTTAAATCTGTGGTTTGGTGACTCGTATGTCACCGATGTGGCAGAAGGGGCACTGCAAGACTCCCAAAATTAGGTAGAGAAAGCCCTGTAGCTTCTGCCTGGGTCGCAGGAATAGTCTCCAGGAAGACTTCAGCCACCATATACGCAGTCTGACTACCCTGAGGCAGCCATGCTATGGGGAAGCCCAAAACAGTAAGCGTGGAGAGGTCAGAGACTGCAGAGGGGCACCTGTCCAGCTGCCAGCTACTCTGCTCCAAGCACCACTCGATGGCACCATTCGATGGCACCCTGAGCCAGAACCACCCAACCGAGCCCATCCCCAAATCCTGGCCCACAGCAACCACGAGATAATTACATGATCGCTGTTGTTTGCCCGTTAGTCTCGGCGTGATTTGTTTCAAGCAACACCTCGCAGACACTGCCCGTTTCTGGGGCAGCTGGGGCAGCGAGGTGATGAGTGCCCAGTGGTCATCGGGGCACCAGCGTATCCTCATCAGACCAGTTCTGTGGCGTGATCGTGGCCGGGCTGTGGTTGGAGGCCAGCTGCCAGTGCTCTTGATCACTTTCCAATCCTGCTTTTGTAATCACTCCTGGGATTCTGTGAGCCATCCCCAACCCTCTCAATCAATTTCCTTTCTGCCCCAGGGGCAGCTTCTGTTGCTTGGAACTAAATCAGTGATGCATGCTTTGAGGATGCTCAGCTCTTCAGTCTCAGCTTGGACGTCCCCTCCTCCTGGAAGCCCTCCCAGGCTGGGTCAGCTGCCCGCTCTGGGCCCCAGCAGCCCCCTGGGCTTTCCCATGCCAGCTCTGCCCACTCTGAGTCATCACTGTCTGGGGGCGGGTCTGTCTGATCACCGCCACATGCCCAGCACTGCCCAGCTCACAGGAGGGGCTCAACAGATGCCAAGTGGCTCAAACTTAAGTGGAAGGAGGCTTGGGTCCCTCTGGGATTAGTGAGGAGACGGGGAGACACTTCTTCAGCTTGATTTGGACTGGAAGTCACCATCACTCTGGGAGAAGATCAGAGAGGAATGGAGGAAAGAGCGAGGGACGAGGAAAGAGTGTGGCAAGACGGGGCACCTCACTCTCAGAGAAATGTGGGGACTCAGAACTCGGATACCTGTGTCTGGGTCCAGGAATATTTTCGCCGTGATGGGGAAAGGGAGTCAGATGCCTGATTCTCTGAGAACTTGGGACTCTGGACTCCTAAGTTGTGAGGGTGGAGCTCTTGGATCCGAGAAAGCAGGGACCTGCGGGCCTGGACTCCTGGATCTGGAGGATCCAGGCTCTTGGCTCTCTGATCCCCAGACCTCTGGGTTCATCAGGTGGCCATCAGGCCTCAGGGATGCCTGTTCCCGATGCCAAGCTGCCCCCTGGTGGCCGCTGTCCACTTTCTCCACACACCAAAGGACAGACCAAGCTTGGCAGTTTATTTCTGCTCCGCAAACCCCTTCCAAGGCCCCTGGGGCTCCCTTTAGCAGCACATCTTGGCGCCCTGCGAGGTGGAAAGAAAGATGGTTTAGATACCATCACATCCAAGTCGGGTGGGGCGGGCAGGGCCAGGCCAAGGGAGGGAACCTGGGCGGGGCGGGGGACTCACCTGGCCTCCGGGCCTGGGCAGCGATCACGGGACACACAGGGGCAGCTGGAGGGGTGACTTTCCCTTTAGGAGTTTCTGCAAGGGGGAGAGTTCGAGGTGGGCTGTGGATTTCCTAAGAACAGTGTTTCCCTTCTGCCCCCACCCCATCTTCCCTCTGACCCAGAGTCCTGGACCCCAGCTGTCCCCTCCACTTACTCTGTGGCTCCCTCCCTGGCCTCGGGGCTGGAGGTACTTTCCCACAGGGCTGAGGCCACAGGCCTAATTCTTGGCAAGGCAAGAGGAGCCCGAAGTCTGGGGAGGGCCAGAGGCGCCTGGAGGAGAGGAGATTAAGATATTTCACAGCTGAGTTGCAGCTGTGCTCCACTTCACAGGCCCAGACAGGGGTAACACATGGTGGGGGCAGGGCGGCAGGGGATAGTATGATAGGGTCTTGTCCCTAGTCCATGCTGTTTTTTCCTTAACACCTCTGGCTTGAGTAGGAAGAAGTTTTAATTTGTTTGTCTAGACATTGATCCATCCATCTGTCCATTCATCCATTTACTCATCCATTCACCCATCCACCCACTCATCCATGCATCCATCCATGTATCCATCCACCCACCCATCCATGTGTCCATCCATCCATCCATCCACGCACCCATCCATCCATCTATGTGTCCATCCATCCGTCCATCCATCCATCCACACATCCATCTGTCTGTTCATCCATCCATCCACTTACCCATCCATCCATCTGTTCATCCATCCATCCATGCACCCACCAATCCATCCACCCACCCATCCATCCACCCACCACTCCATCTATCCATCCATTCATTCATCCATCCATCCATCCATCCATTCACACACCCATCTATCTGTTCATCCATCCACCTACCCATCCATCATCTGTTCATCCATTTACCCATCTGTCCATTCTTCCATTCACCCATCCATCCATCCATCCACCTACCCATCCATCTATGTGTCCATCCATCCATACACCCATCCATCTATGTGTCCATCCATCCGTCCATCCATCCACACATCCATCTGTCTGTTCATCCATCCATCCACCTACCCATCCATCCATCTGTTCATCCATCCACCCATCTGTCCATTCATCCATTCACTGATGCATCCATCCATCCATCTCTTCATCCACCCACCCATCCATCTATCCATCCATCCACACACCCATCTGTTCATCCATCCACATACCCATCCATCATCTGTTCATCCTTTTACCCATCTGTCCATTCATCCATTCACCCATTCATCTACCCACCCATCCACCCACCCACCCATCCATCCATTCATCCATCTGTCCATTCATCTATCCACCCATCCATCCATCTACCCATTCATTCATTCACTCATTCATTCATCCCACAAACATTTCCTGAGCTTCTACAGTGTGTCAGGCACTCTTCTGAGCTCTGAAGAGACAGCCATGAACCAGACAGACAAAAATCTCTGTCCTCACAGAGCTGACAGTCTACTGAGCAGGAGGCTTACAGTGAGTAATCAGTGCGTGAGCAAGGAAATACCCCAAGAGAGAATTAGGTGTCCTTCAGAGAACTGGAATAGTGCATGGGGAGAGTGGGGGGCAACCAGACACGAAGGTACCTGGGGAAGGCATCTTGGAGGAGGGGATGATTGAGCAGAAGCCTGAGTGCAGGAAGGATGTGGGCAGAGACCCTGTGATGGATGGCGGGCTTGCTGGCTTATTAGAGAACAGCAAGGGGGTCCATTGCTGCTAGAAAGCAGTTGTAGGGTGGTGGGAGGGCAGAGAGGTGGGGAGATTTCAGATCCCCAGGCCTTGTGGCTAGGGGAGAGGATGTTGCCTTTAACTCTTGGAGTCCTGAGGTCTCGGGGGCTTCTGAGAGGCACGGGAAGGGATCTGACTCAGGTTACAGATGCCCAATCTTGTTGACTTCATCAAAACCCATGAAACCCATGGGGCCCTGCCATGCCTGTCCCCATTCTCCACACAGAGACAGTGAGGATGGGAGAGGTCCCCAGTGGCCACAGCAAGGTGCCAGGGTCCCACTGAATAACAGTGATGCCCCCAGAGATGGATTTCTCAGTTGGAGAACAGCAGTGTAGGGGAGCATTCTAAGCCTGGGGAGCACCATATGCAAATCACGCCCCCAGTGACACTGACCATGAACACAGCCCCATTCACCCTGTGCCCACAGCAGCCCCTGTGCTGGCATCACAGAGGGAGTGAAGGATGGATTCTGGAATCTGGAGCCAGGGGTCTGAGCTGGGTGACCTCAGTGTATCCCTCTGTATAATACGGATCATAATGGTATCTACTTCATCAGGTTGTCAAGACAATTACACAAATGCATTAAAAAGCAGCGCTGGGCACAGAGCATATGTGACAGTCACTGTGCTGAGAACAGGCAGACCCAGGGCCATCTCTTCTGCATGTTTTGAAGAATGAAGGAAAGAGAGATGACTGACAGGTTTGGGGGAGAAGAGGAAATGGCACACCAGGTGGAGGGCACAGCCTGTGCAAGGGTGCGACCCTCTGGCCAGAGGTGGCCCGTCCACCTGCCGCCTGGCTGTGTCCCCCTCCTTGTCCTCACGGGGCCGGCTGAGTGCTTCCTAATGTTTCCATTTGCTTTTGGCTGCAGATCGGGATCTGTTTTTAGCTTCCCCGGCTGGTGTCACCGCCACCCCACCTCCCGCTGGCTCTCTTGTTTGCTGTGGTCGAATAATGTTCCCGGACTTCCTGAGCTGTTTGTTTGAAGCCTGTCCACGATCGATTGCATCTCGTGTGTCCTCAGCCCGAGTTCCTTGCAGAGATCTGATCCTCCCCAGCAAGCCAGGGTCTCAGAAAATGCTGGAGTGGGGGGCGGGGGGAGAAGAAAGCAGGCCTGGGGCTCGCTTAGAAAAGCAGCACAGGATTTCGGGGTATTTAAGGTCCCTGCCCCCCCAACCCTGGCTTCTCCTCTTTCAGGCTGTGTGGGTTTGGGCAGCTGCAGTCACCTTTCTGAGCTTTGTTCCTCTGGAAAATGAAGAGAGGAACATTTTCAACATCATCGGACTATAGGGAAGACTTGGGTCAATGTATTCATTCAATGCCTATTTTGTGACCACCTACTATGTGTCAGGCACTGTTCTAGACTCTGGAGATATAATGGAGAATACTAACCTTTACGAGGGTCACAATCTGCTGACGGTGACAGAAAACGACAAAAACTGCACACACTGCCAGGTGGTAAAAAGGACTAGGAAAATGCAGTGGGGCTGGGCCTTGGAGGGCGGGGGGCTATTTTCAATGGGGCGGTCAGGGAAGGTCTCCCTGAGGAGGGGATGAGACAGCGAGTCTGGGGAAAGCAGGTCCAGGCAGAGGGAACAGCTCGTGCAAAGGCCCTGGGGTAGGACATGCCAGGGATGTGGGAAGGAGAGGCACAAAGCCAGTGAGGGGGAATGAATAAGGAAGAAGACAAGAGAAGAGGCCACAGAGGTGGTGCATGGCAGATCGCACACCTTGTAAGTGGGCACAGATGATGAGTGCTGGGCCTCGACCCCGTGAGCACCCAGCCAGACCAGGGGCCCCAGGGCTGAATGAGACCCAAGCTGCCCACCTCAGACCAGCCCCTGACTCACCACCTTCCTCTGGCCTTCATCTCTGGGTCTCCTGGGGGAGAGATTTAGTCGAGGGGGCAATGGGGGAGCTGAGGGGGCCACCTAGGGGAGACAGAGGGTGGGGGGGCTATCAGCTGCCAGTTTCTTCTCACCTACATGTCCTCCTGCCTGGAGACCCAGCAGTCAGTTCTCGATTTCGGAGATGTGATGGAGAATAAGACGAAGTCCCCACCCTCAGGAGGGCTCCACCTGGAGGAAGGCATCCCCCTGACCCAGGGGGGCAGAAGTCCAGGCCTGCAGCACCCGGAATTGGATCACTAGCCCCCTCCTCTCTTAGGATAGAGGAGTACAGGCCCCCAGCCCCTTCTCCCTCAGACCCAGGGGTCCAGCCCCAGCCCCTCCTCCCTCAGACCCAGGAGTCCAGCCCCAGCCCCTCCTCCCTCAGACCCAGGAGTCCAGCCCCAGCCCCTCCTCCCTCAGACCCAGGGGTCCAGTTCCAGCCTGGGCCTGGCCCCGCTCACCTGCCCCTGCGGCTCCTCCCTATCTTCTTGGTCACTGCCAGGCCTGGGGTCCTCAGCAGGGAGCCTGGCTTCCACTGGCCTCCCCTGGAACTGGTGGATACTCACAGCCTCTCGGCCCTTGATCTCGCTGCGGCAGAAGGGGCAGGTCTGGCTGTCCGAGTGCTGGGGGAGGTGAGGGTCGGTCAGGGTCTCCCTGTTCTCCACCATGCCCCACCCAACAGAGTGATCCCCAACCAACAGACGGAGGGAGGGGGATGGGGAGAGAGATGTTGAATGGGAAGCGGGGGTGGACCAGAGCCGAGGTCAGGAGGGGTTCACAAACGGGGAGCCCAGGGGAGCCCGGTGTCACGGGGGTCTCGGCCTATCTACAGTGACACCATGGGCTAGGAGTACCCGAGGCACCTGCTCGGGCCGTGCGCATTGTGGCCAGCCCCGCAGAACTTCCCCCAACCAGCGGGGCCAGTGCTGTGGCTGGACCGGCCCTGGTGGTTCTTATGATGACAGGACGCCGCTCAGCAACGGCCATCAGGGAATTGTGAGGAGCAAGATTTTTACTCACGGGGTCTGGAGGGGACACGCCCCATCCAGGCCACACGGCAGCCTCAGGCGGGGTCGCAGGGAGAGAGAGGAAGGGAGCACGGACTTGGGGCTCGGCCTCATCAGGGGCCGAGGGTGGTGCTTAGGGTTTCCTGGCTTTGCTCTTTATTGGCAAATTTAAGGCGTACGGAGCAGAACCAGGGTGCAGGAAAGGAAAATGGGGTCACCTAAGGGGCCAGTTTTCTAGTCCCCCAGGGCTTTCTCAAGGGGACCATCATGGGTGTGTGTGTCCTGGTTCCTTATCCCGCTGCTGCGTTAGGAGCCATGTCAGACCGCCGGCAATATGTTTATTGGAGATGGATGTCTTTGAAATGGAGGCCTTGCCAATCCAAAGCTTAATGTCCAACACTCACTTTACAGTGAAAAAGTTTCATGTCGGGTACCCACCCTGCACAGGGCAACAGCCCCCCTTTCCCAGGGGCCTTTGCTGAGGGCTTCGTGGGCGTGGATCCTCACTATGGCCCACGGGAAGTTACCACCATCAGCCCCATTCGCCAAGAAGGCAGCTAAGGCCCAGAGACGTGAAGCCACTGACCCTGGATCGCCCAGTGAGGGGAGGAAGGAGGCCTTGCCACACTCATATGTAGCTGGAGGAGGAGAAGCAGAGGTGACAGCTGCAGAGCGAGATGGAGACAGAGGCACAGACACAGACAGGCGGGCTGCCGGTCCTCACTCCTGTGTGACCCTGAGCAAGTCTCTTCTCTCCCCGGGCCTCAGTTTCCCTATCTGATGGATGAGGCATATGGGAGCTCCTTCTGGATTTTTACCGTCAGGAGGGGGAGACCGGGTGGGAAGGTGGGGTGGAGTCGGACCCACCTGCCAGGCGGCCAGGCAGCGACTACAAAGCAGGTGCCCGCACGGCTCGATCTTCACATCCTTGTTGCTCTCGGCACAGATCTTACAGAGTTCGAACGTGGAGTCCATGGCCCAGTACAGCCGCAGCTGCTCCTGGCCGGCACAGAGGTGGGGAGGATGGGAAGGGGAGGTGTCAGCCCGGGGGGGACCAGTTGGGCCCCAGGAAGCAAGTCCCAAACCTTTGCGCCAGCCCCAAACCCTCTCCCAGCTCAAGGCCCGTGGGTCCAGCTGCCCCTACATGAACACTTTGCTATGAGGCTTGTTCTCTGGGTGGCCTAACTCTGGGCTGCCAGATTTAGCAACTAAAAATACAGGAGGTCTTGTTAAATTTGATTTTCAGATAAACAAGGAATAAATTTTTAGGCATAAGTATATCCCAAATACCACGTGGGCTATACTTATACTAAAAAATTTATTTGTGGATTCTCTCTCACCCACGGGGCGGCTGTGGAGAGTAAGAGCTGGCACGGGGGCTGCCACTGGTGGATACCCAAGTGCATTAGTTGTTCTGATGACCTCAGCGGTATCGTTTCCTAGTTTAATCCCCACGAAAACAGCTGAGTAGGAGGCAGGAGGGGCCGTATTTTCCAGAAGAGGAACAGAGGCTCGGAGAGACTACGTGATTTATCCCAGGTCCCATGGCCACCAAGCGGGCACAGAACCTGAGGCTTCAGAAGCCGGGGTGGCGGGGGCTGCGGGCAGGGTGGGGGCACAGGCCAGGGCTCACCTCCGACACGTGGATGTGCTGCTGGGGTTCCATCTGGCGGAGTTCGGTCAGGTCCGGGTTGTGGTTCTTCCCGTCTGGGTAGAGGTAGCTGGGGGAGGGAAGAGAGGGTGCTAGGGGCCAGCCAGCACCCCCGACTCTAGACTGACAAGCACCCCCACACTGCCACGGGGCTGGGCTTCTGGGATGAGCATCTGGCCCAAATCCACTGCTGGCCTGGGGGTATTTTCCCTTCCCTCTCCTCAAATTGGGATTCTCCAGGGCAGGGCTGCGTCCTCTCAGTCCCAATAGAAGGACCATGTCCCCTAAGACCCCACATAAGAGCACATTAGACCTAAATGACTCAAGCTCTAGAAACGGAGGTCAGATGCGTGAGAACCAGGAAACCTCAGACTGAGCCCTCCCAAAGTGTCGCCGTCCTGGAGTCCTCAGGCCCGAGCAGAGGAGCATCTGAGAGTCACAGATGGCTGCCGGGACCAGATCCTAGCGTCTTAGACTAGCAGATCTAGAAGGACCCTCCCAGACAGTCTACTTGGCGCTTCCCAGATGGTGACGAGGTTCTGCACGGGCAAGGCGACTGCCCAGGGTCACACAGCAAGGCTTGGAGGGACCCAGACCCTGGGCTGTGCGCGAGGTCTGAGCACCGAGCTCTGAGAAGTGCTCTGCAACCCCCGGGGGACTCTCACCCAGGTCAGAACGGCACCCTCGGACCAACGGCAGGGCTGCAAGTCCCCCGAGGCTGGTGGCTCTGCCTTGGCCAGCCAGCTAGAGCAGTGCAGGAGCCCTGGCCTGGGCCCCCACGCGGCTCTCCCACAGACACACTGTGTGACCTGGGCCGGGCAGCTCTACTTCTCTGGCCTCAATTTTCCCTTCTGTAAAATGGGCATAATGCCGGCTGGGGCCAAGATGGGTGGTGAGGATTAAATGAGAGAGCGCTCGTAAAATTGCAGTGTGTGCCCTCCACAGTAAGAGAGAAGGCTGGGGTTGACGTTAGACCCAGAAAGTCGCCTTGCTGCGTGGTGGAAAGACCTTGGAGTCCCTTCCAGTCTCTCAGGGCCCGATCTTCCCATCTATAAAATGCTGGGTGTGTGTGTGTGTGTGTATGTGTGTGTGTGTGTGTGTGTGTATGGGTGTCTGGGGAGGGGGGCAGGCGGGTTAAGCCAGACTGATGGTGTTCACACTTATCTTAACTCTGGAATCCTCTTCTCCAATGAACTCTGACCCAGAACTCAGGACATTACGGTGGGTAAGGGTCCCTATTCTGAGCCTGGCTGCCTTAGCTCAGGAGCTGTGTGACCTGAGGAGCAGGCTCTGTCTCTGTGCCCCAGCTGTCCAATAGGGCTGGAACCGTCTGCCTCATTCAACAGCTCTTCGTTATTTGTGGATCCCATATTCGCAAATTTGCCTGCTCGCTAAAATCTATTTGTAACCCCAAATCAATACTCGCGGCATTTTTGTGCTCACTCATGGACATGCACGTAGAGGCAAAAAATTTGTGTTGCCCGACGGGCACGTTCCAGCGGAGGTCGAACAAGGCGACCGTTGGCCCTCTCGTTCCAGCTCCCGCACTGGAAACAAGTGTCCTTTTCGCAATGGTTGGGGTGCCAGGTTTTTCCCATTCTTATGCTTTTTGTCGGGGACGCAGCTGTTTAAAACGCCCCCTGGCACAAGCCGTGGTGCCATCCAGTGTCCTAAGCACAAGGAGGCTGTGACGCGCCTCATGGAGAAAATGCGTGTGTTACAGCAGCTTTGTTTGGGCACAGGTTACAGCGCGCTGGCCGTGAGTTGGGTGTGAATGAACCACCAGTACATGTTAAAGAGGTGTCTCTGACAGAAACACACGTAAAGGTTCCTGTGTAGTGACTGGTTGGCAAAAATGCGACCAGAGTCTTGCAAGAACCTAAACTTTTATTTCCTCTGGGAGCGATGTCAGTGTGCTAATTCAGTGTTTATAAAGACTTCATAGGACGTAACTGTCCTGAATAATGGAGACGGATTGCATATGTGTCTTGCTTCTATCTGTCTGTCTGTCTACCTACCTACCTACCTATCATCTATCCATCTACGCATCTATCATCTATCAATCTATACATCTATCATCTATCACTTATCTATCTATCCATCTATCTACCATCTATCATCTATCATCTATGCATCTATCATAATCCATCTACAAATCTATCATCTATGTATCCATCTATCTACCAATCTATCCATCTATGCGTCTATCATCTATCTATCCATCCATCCATGAATCTATCATTTATCTGTCCATCTATCGTCTATCTATCTATGCCTCTATCATCTATTTATCTATCAATCATCTATCCATCTATGCATCTATCTATCATCTATCCACCCACCCATCCATCTATGCATCTATCATCTATCTACCCATCTATCTATTGATCTATCATCTATCCATTTATGCATCTATCATTTACCTATCTATCCATCTATCTACTCATCTATCATCTATCTACCTATCATCCATGCATCTATTTATCATTTATCTATCATCTATATACCTATCTATCCATCTATCTGCCTATCTATCATCTATCTTCCTAGTATGCCTCTATCTATCTATTATCTATTTATCTATCTATCCATCCATCTATGCCTCTACCTACCTCTCTATCTATCATCTATCTTTTATTTATCTATCCATCTATCTACCTATCTATCCATCCAATGCACGTATCTACCTGTCTATCAACTGTCTATCTATCCATCTATCTCATATCGTATCACACAGTTATGACTGACAAGAAGTCTCTGGTTAAAGGTCCAGGTGAGTGGGGACCCTCACCTGCCTTTTTTCTTCCCTCCCCTCCTACCCAAGGCTCCTTCTGAAAGAGGGTCCCCGGGGAGCCAAGGTTACAGGTTGGAAACCCCAGGCTAGCCGTTCGCCCAGTTCTCTTTCTGCTTTAACGGTCAGATTCTGGAACAGGATATGGATATCTAGAAGCAAAAGCTCTTGAGTGCAATTCCAAGAATGGAGCCGTCGGGCTTGTGGGCAGCTCCACACACACCTCTCCCGGGGTTGCCTGCGCTTAGGGCAGCTTTGTGGGAACTAGAAAAGGCACCCCCTCCGAGCCTTGTCTGCCACCTGCTGGAATGCAGCGGTATTGCAAGTTTGTGAAGTCCGCTCTGTGAGCTGCGTGTCCTCACGTAGGGGTCTGGGGCAGTACTCAACATGGGCCACCTTTGGAGGTGTGTCCTGCTGACCCCCTACCCCTGGCCAGGGTGGGAACTCACAAGCCTTCCTTTTGTCCTTCCAGGAGGGCCTGGAACAGGGGTTGATTGGGAGGGATGGTCTGCAGGATGCTGCCGTCTGTGCTCACGTATCCAATGGCCCACTGTCCCAGGCGAGTGCAGCTGGGCCGGAAGATGTAGCTGGAGGAAGGGGAGGAAGAGGAAGGTAGGATGGGGTGAGGGAGCGGTCACCGCTGTCCATTCTGAGACCTCTCAGCCCCTCACCCTGTCGAGGATCCAGGTGTCCTTGCCCCCTTAGCTCCCAGCTTCTCACTCTTTTAGGTCCTTGTGGCCCACTAGGGGGGATGTCTATTGTTTTCACCTGATGGGCTCCTCCGCCTCCTTCACTGAGGTTTAGACAAGGCTGATTCTGGCTTGCATTTCAGGACCCCTGACCACAATAATGGGAGTCAACCCTGAGAATTTTGCTGAAAATATCCGGAGCTAGGTACCCCATTTCTGCAGAGGTGGCTAAGCCAGTAGGATGTACAGCTGGGGCATCTAGAAACCATTTGCTACCATGAAGAGAGACCATGTCTGAGGACAAAGCTGACACAGAGGAAAGCAGAGACAGGGACACACAGGAACCGATTCCTGACAACAGCACTTGAGTGCCTGGATCCTGCCACACCTGAAACCCCTTACCTGGTCTTTTCCATTATGGGAATAAATTCATCCCTTTTTCTTTCCCTTTAAACCAGTTTGCAGTGTAACTGGAAGAGCACTAACACACTTGCTGTCCTGGGGGTCCTGTACCTCAGCCCTGCAAAGACTCATGAATCTGACCTCCTATTCCCTTAACCTCTTGGTCTTCCAGGTAGCTCAGCCCCTCAATTCTCAGCCCTTTGGGGGCATCTAACAGCTCAAAACTCCTGGTTTATGGGGCCAGCCCTGTGGCTGAGTGGTTAAGTTCACGTGCTCTGCTTTGGCGGCCCAGGGTTCGCAGGTTCAGATCCTGGGTGTGGACCTACACATGGCTCATCAGGCCAGGCTGTGGTGGTGTCCCACATAGAGGAGCTAGAATGACTTACAACTAGGATATACAACTACGCTCTGGGGCTTTGGGAAGGAAAAAAAAAAAAAAGGAAGATTGGCACCTGATATTAGGTCAGGGCTAATCTTCCTCACCAAAAAACAAAAACAAAAACAAAAACACCACCTCCTGGCTTAAAATCATTTAATGACTCAGGTGTCTGGTTTCCCCATCTCCTGCCTCAGCAGGTGGGGGGGTCATATTCAAACTATTTAACAGATGGGACAGCATAGGCTCTGACCGATCAGAAATGGATCTTATCCTGGGGCAGCGTCTTCAGGCCCTCTGCCAGACTAGGTATTGTCCCTTTAGCTGCGAGTCTGTAGGAAGGTCCAGGAGGTCCCCGGAGAAGAGGCAGGAGGCAGGGGTACCCAGCATCTGACTCCCTGGGGTCCTGGGCGCCTCAGCACTTCAGTTCTCACTCTCTGAAGGGTGTCTGGGCTTCCCCCCGATCCCGGCCCAGGACTCAGGGCCCTGAGCCACCCCCCAGCCTCCCCTCCTGAGCCTGGTCCTCTTACCTGCCCGGCTTGTCTCTGCAGGCCTGCAGACGCGCTCCGACCTCGTCATAGGTGAGGAAGGCCATGTAGCCCGGGTGGTTGACCGCCAGGAGCTGCCAGTTCTTGAGGAGGGTTGGCCAGGGCTGGGGGGGCATGGCCTCGTCAGGGAGGGGCCACACCCCCAACGCCTCCCAGGGCCTAAGAGTCAGGCTCCTCAACACACCCAGAGGAGACCTCAGGGAGAACTCCGGACACACAAGATTCCAGACCCTTCCTTCCTCAGGTTCCCAACCTCCTCCTCCCTCAGACCCAGGGGTCCAGGCCCCAGCCCCTCCTCCCTCAGACCCAGGAGTCCAGGCCCCCAGCCCCTCCCCCCTCAGACCCAGGAATCTGTGCCCCCAACCTCTCCTTCCCCGGGGATTCCAGCCTTGGCCTTCCCTGACCTGGAAGAGCCTGGTGAAGATGTCAAACTCAAAGACGGACACGTGGCCGCTGCAGGTGAGGTCGATGGTGGAGCGCAAGGCCAGGGCAGTGGCGCCCGATTCCACAGGGTGGCAGGTGCACAAGATGGACTCAAACTCGGCCCAGGGCAGCACACACCTGGGTGGAGCAGGGTGGGGGATGCAGTTGAGGCCCCTGGGAGCCTAGGATGGGAAGACCTCTAGGAAGGAGGTAGCAGGGGCGGGATATTTCGGTCTGAGGGAGGAGGGGCTGGGGATGGACCCCTGGGTCTGAGGGAGGAGGGGCTGGGGGCCTGGACCCCTGGGTCTGAGGGAGGAGGGGCTGGGGGCCTGGACTCCTGGGTCCCTGGGCAGGGGCGGGATGAGGCTCCAGGAGCTGAGGGCCCCCGGGGCCAAGTGCCCACTCACCGGGCTCCGCAGCGCTCCCTCCAGAAGGCGTGGGCAGGGGCCTTGGTGAGCTGGTACGTGTGTCCACAGTACTTTCCCTGGGGGAAGAGCGCGCCCAGCTCTGCGTGCATGTGGCTGAAGATGAGAGCCAGCTTGGCCAGCTGTCGCCTGCAGGGAGGGACTCTGAGGACCTGGCTGGACTTGGAGCTCCCACCGACACCTCCACCCACAGGGACACGGCCCCGGACTCTCTCTCTCGTCTCAGTGTAGGGTAAAAGTCGACTCCAGCCCTGCCTGTTGCAACCCTGACGCCTATCCTCCCAGAACCTCGGTTTCTTCATCTAGGAAGGAAGGAGGTGCTGCCCAACAGCCAGGCCATCCTCCAGAAGACAAGTCCCACCCTCCGCCTGCAGTCCCCCGGGGGCTGGAGGAGAAGCCTTGCCGAGTGAGACGTGGGACCACTAGAGCTGATGGCATCGAGGGCGGTCTGCACACAGTTCACGCTCCAGCCTTCCTCTTGGTTTTAGCAGCGCTGGGTGGTGGACCCCCGTGCCCTCTCCTGCCATCCCTGAGGCACAGATCAGGATGGGGAGCAGCAGAGGGCAGCTCTGGCGATTAACTGTGTGATTTTTGACAAGTTCTTTTTTTTCCCCCTAAGTCTCAGTCTCCTTAGCTGTGAAATGGGCATAAAGACCCCCTGCCCCATAGGGGGAGCGACGAGGATGCTTCCCAGCCTTACAAGCATGTAAAATGCCTAGCACGCCCAGCGGACATCCGCGCTCAGGGCGTGTCCATTATTATTACTGTTCTTCTTATTTTATATGAGTAGTCTCCTTGGGCCAGGTCTGTAGGGTTCTGGGACCTTCTAGAAGGCCACCCCTGGCCGTTGCTAAGCACCCTCCCTCCCCAGAGTCTAATCTGCAGCCACTATCCAAACGGCGGGGCTGGTCCCAACTGAGGGGTCCTCTAAATGTGAAACACACCAGATTTCAGAAACTCGGTGCAAAAGAAAAAAAGTGAATGATCTCGTTCATCATGGCTTTCTACCGATTACAAGTCAAGAAGATAGTTTGGATACAAGGAATTCAAGAAAATGTTATTAAAACTCAATAGAGTGACTTTTGAAAAATTATGACTAGGCAGGTTATTGACCCTATGCAGTCCATTTCAGGATGAATTTAAGGAGATGCTATGAAATATTTGCTATAAGGAAGGGGCATGGGGTGTGGCAGGGTTGAGAGCCGCTGGTCCAGACCTCGCTCTGAGCTCTCAGCCTCAAACCTCATCTGTCCGTCACACGGCAGCCCCCTCCCCAGAGCTCAGAACCAGAGCCGGCAGCCGGCACCCAGCCCCAGCTCCTGAGCTGGCTGTTCCTCAGGAACCAGACAGGGGGTGCCGGGGAATCCCTGGGGCAGGGGCGTGATGCGGGTGTCAATCCACCCCGCCTCCTGCAGGAAGCTCCCTGGGGTCCCCACGATCCCAGGATGTGTCTCTAAGCCTCTGGGAGGGTGGGCCGAGGAAGCCGCTGCTGAGGGCCCAAGGAAGGGGGTTTGAAATGGGGGCCGAGGGCGCAGGTGTCCAAGGAAGGGAAAAGCTGGGTGGCCCAGTTTTCCAGGTTCCCTCAGGAAGAAGGGGTTGGGACCCTGACTTCCTGGTCTGAGGGAGGAGGGGCTGGGGGATGGACCCCTGGGTCTGAGGGAGGAGGGGCTGGGGGCCCAGATTCCTGGGTCTGAGGGAGGAGGGGCTGGGGGCTGGACCCCTGGGTCTGAGGGAGGAGGGGCTGGGGGCTGGACCCCTGGGTCTGAGGGAGGAGGGGCTGGGGGATGGACTCCTGGGTCTGAGGGAGGAGGGGCTGGGGGCCCAGATTCCTGGGTCTGAGGGAGGAGGGGCTGGGGGCCGGACCTGGGCCTCACCGGTGGTCCCTCCCTGTTGGGGCCAGGGGCCCCGCTCACCTGAGCCTCGAGCCCTCCCGGAAGAGCTCGTCGTTGGCGCTCCTCCGGCCCCGCGGTGGCAGCAGTTCCGCCACCTGCCTGCTCTTGGCCTCCAGGTTGGCGAGGTAGACGACGAGGAAGTCCCCCGCGCCCCCGGGTCCCTCGGGGTCGCCTCCGCCGGCCGTCCTCCGGGTTTGGGCCACGTCGCGCAGCAGCTGCGCGGTGCGGGGCAGCAGGTCCCGCAGCGAGGGCGGGCTCGAGGAGAGTCGCGGGTCCCCGCACCGCTCCTCCAGGCGCTGCAGCAACCTCACCGCCCGGCCGAGCGCGCGAGGCTCTCCCCGCTGTCGCCCCCGCGGGGCCGCTGCCGCAGCCATGGTCCCTCGGGTGCCCTGGGTGCCGGGCGCGTTGGGAAAGGCACGGAGGGCCCCGCCCAGCCCGGGGAAGGGGCGGGAGAGGCGAGGGCGGGCCCGGGAGAAGGGGAGGGGACAGCAGGTAGCTGTGTCTCCAAAGGGGGCAGGGGTTGGGGGCTCTGCGACCTGACTTCCCGGGAGATGGGGTTCCGAAGTCTGATCCCCCAAGGGGAGCTGGATGGAGTGCCTTCGGGGAGTGGCGACAGGTGAGGGGCATGCCCTGCCCGTTCTGGGCGGGGCTGAGGACTGGGTCCAAGGTTGCAGTGGAGGAGAGGTTGGGGAGCTCTGGGACTTTTGTTGGGGGCAGGGGTCGGACTGGGAGCTTAGCTATCCAGACCCTGCAGGGAGGAGGGGCTGGGACGTAGCACGCCCGCGTCAAGGCTCAAGGTCCAGATCTTTTGTCGTGGCATAGGATTAGAGGCGAGCTGAACTTTCAAAGAGGAAAGGGCAGGGAAATAGGGCGACGTCTTTGTCCCTGAGAAGGAAGGCAGAACGTGACCAGACCCCGAGGTCCCCTAGGAGCGGAGTTGGGGAGGACGGTGCGTGAGGGAACAGGGATTTGGTGACCCCATTCTGGGTCTCCACGGCAGGGGCATGCGGGACATCACGCTGGAGATGAGACACCCAGATTTGCAAAGGAAGTGAGTCCCTGGGTCCCCAGGGGATGAGGCTGGAAGATGGGCTTCAAGAATGCAGGGCTCGAGGCACGGCTTGGGGGCGCAGGGCTGGAGAGCGGTGGTTTTCTCCCCCACCTGCGCGACCTGTAGCATCCGCCCAGCCCGGGCTGCCCGCCCGGCAGCCACCTGAGGGCGCTGTGTGCCCGGCGGTCCCTCCACCAGATGGCACCCAGGCCCCGCCCCACGGCATCCAGGCCCCGCCCCACAGCATCCAGGCCCCGCCCCACGGCATCCAGGCCCCGCCCCACGGCATCCAGGCCCCGCCGCAAGGCATCCAGGCCCCGCCCCACGGCATCCAGGCCCCGCCGCAAGACATCCTGTGCACCTAACTGGAAAATTTCGAATCAGAGAGGCACGAATAGCTGACATTTGTTGAACGCTCGCTCTCTGTGGGCCCTACGTGTCAGGCTTTACATTTTCTCCCTGAATTCTCAAAAACTCTTTGAGGCGGGGGGAGGGGGCGAGGGTTTAAGACCAGAACTTTCTTCCCTTCGCACCCCCTCCCCTCCTCAGCCCTCAACACCCATCGCTCAGAACTCAGAATCCTTAACTTACGGAATCTTGCACGTTGCAACTCAGACTAAGGGGAGAGCAGGTCTGTGCAGTCTGGATGGCGGGCTCTGCCTCCCAGCTCCTTGCAGTTCCTGCCCTTTCTGAGCCTCAGTTTCCTCCACTGGAAAATCAGATGAAAAGCCATTGGCCTGGCAAAAATTCAAATTTTGGGGTACGCCAAGTGTTGACGAGGAGCCGATGGGAGCGTGAACGGACAAATGATGTTGGAGAGCAGTTTGACCGCATCCGTCGAATCTTCGACGGGGCAAGCCCATTGCCAGCTCCATCCTTCAGAGCCGTGGCCTGTAAACACTTCAGCTCGCATTGGAACTTCATGCACCCAGAACAAAGTTTCCCAGGGCAATCCTTACCCCGACTATACGCATGCGCTCTAATATCTCCTGTCTAATAGGGTTTCATTGAAGGGAAGAATATGCTTGCAACCTCGAAATTGATTTCACAACCCGCTAATGGACGTTCGGACAGTTTGAAGAATACTCCGGGACACGTTTAGGGATGTGAAGTGCAGCCTTGTCGGAAAGGGACAAACCTGGAAACAAGGTGAGCGTCCATTAGCAGGAAGAGGGATGAATAAATTGCGGTCTTCCCTCAGCAAGGACGCCCACGCAGCAGTTCAAATGAATGAACTGGAGGAACATACCAAGGGCGTGAATGGTGAAAACGTGATGATGAGTCTGCTGGGTTCAACAGTGCCTCCTTCCACCCCCCGCCCCATTCATGTGTGCTGCACCTGTGAATGTGGCCTTATTTAGAAATAGTTTCACAGGTGTGACCAAGTTAAGATGAGGTCATGCCGAAGGAGGGTGGGCCCTAAATTCAATAGGAATGGGAATTTGGACACAGATGCAGGAACGCCCACAGGGGAGAAAGCCATGTGATGGCGGAGGCAGCGACGGGAGTGATGCCTCCGGAAGCTGAGGAGTGCCAAGGATTCCTGGCAAAGCCTGGAAGCTGGGAGAAGCGAGGAAGGATTCTCTCCCAGAGCCTTCCAGGAGAGCACAGCCCTGCCCACACTTTGTGGTTGGGCTCCTAGTCTCCAGGGTTGTGAGAAAGAATTTTCTTTGTTTTAAGCCACTCGGTTTGTGGTCCTTGGTTACATCAGCCACAAGAAACAAACACAATGAGCTCAAAAGGCAAGGACAGAAGGATTAGAACAGCACAAAGCCGTTTATACCAAGTTTGCAAACCTGCAGACCCAATGCTCTGTTATTTGGGGATGCATCTGCATAGGATAATAGGATAAACACACGGGTGGTCATGCTGAGGGTTAAATGCGGATGTGGAGGAGGAAAAGGACTCTGAAGAGGATACACTGGGACTTAATGCTTTAATTTTAAAAATCTGGATCAAATACAGCAAAATGGTTAAAAGTTCCAATAGTTGCATACAAAAGAAGTGGATGAGGCCAGCCCTGGTGGCCTAGTGGTTAAGTTCAGTGTGCTCCACTCCCACAGCCTGGGTTCAGTTCCCGGGTGTGGACCTGCACCGCTCATCTGTCAGGGGTCATGCTGCGGTGGTGGCTCACATACAAAAAGAGGAAGATTAGCAGTGGATGTTAGCTCAGGGCGAATCTTCCTCAGCAAAAAAAAAAATAAAATAAAAAAAAGTGGATAATCTGAAAAGATACTCAACATCATTATCAGATAGGGAAATGAAAATCAAAACCACAATAAGACCTTACTTCACACCCACTAGGATGGCTATAACCAAAAAGAGAGACAATAACAAGTGCTGGAGAGGCTGTGGAGAAATTGGAACCCTCATACACTGCTGGTGGGAATGTGAAATGGTGCAGCTGCTTTGGAAAACAGTGTCCAGGTCCTCGAAATGTTAAACATAGAGTTGCCATATGACCCAGCAATTCCACTCCTATGAATGGATATCCCAGAGAATTGAAAACATATATCCATGCAAATAGTTGTGGAAAAAACCTAAATGTCCATCAGTTGATGAATGGATAAATTCAATGCAGTATGCCCAGACAGTGGAATATTATTCAGCCACAAAAAGGAATGCAGTACTAGGGCTGCCCCACAGCTGAGTGGGTTAAGTTTGCACGTTCCGCTTTGGTGGCCCAGGGGTTCACAGGTTCGGATCCTGGGCGTGGACCTAGCACTGCTCATTAGGCCATGCTGTGGTGGCATCCCACACAGCAGAGCCAGAAGGACCTACAACTAGAATATACAACTATGGACTGGGGGGTCTGGGGAGAAGAAGAAAAAAACAAAAGATTGGCAACAGATGTTAGCTCAGGGCCGATCTTTAAAAAAAAAAATGAAGTACTGATCCATGCTGTGACTGAGTGAACCCCAAAAACATTATGCTGAGTGAAAGAAGCCAGTCACAAAAGACCACATATTGTAAGATTCCATTTATAAAAAATGTCCAGAATTGGGGCTGGCCCCGTGGCCAAGTGGTTAAGTTCGCGCGCTCCGCTGCAGGTGGCCCACTGTCTCGTTGGTTCGAATCCTGGGCGCGGACATGGCACTGCTCATCAAGCCACGCTGGGGCAGCGTCCCACATGCCACAACTAGAAGGACCCACACGAAGAATATACAACTATGTACCAGGGGGCTTTGGGGAGAAAAAGGAAAAAAATAAAATCTTAAAAAAAAAAAAAGTCCAGAATAGGCAAATCTATAGAGATAGAAAGTATATTAGGGATTATCTAGGGTTGAAGGGAGCTGGAACAAAATAGGAGTGGCTGCTAATGGGTAGAGGGTTTCTTTTTGGGGTTAGGGAATTTTTTTAAGCTGTTTTGGTTTTATTGTCACTCAGGGTTTTTTGTTTTTGTTTTTAATTTTTTCCCGCCAAGGAAGATTCGCCCTGAGCTTACGTCCCTTGCGAATCCTCCTTTTTTTGCTGAGGAAGACTGGCCCTGAGCTAACACCCATGCCCATCTTCCTCTATTTTATATGTGGGACACCTACCACAGCCTGGCTTGATAAGCAGTGCATAGGTCCCTGCCCGGGATCCAAACTGCTGAAACCCTGGGCCGCGAAAGCAGAGCGTGCGAACTTAACCACTACGCCACTGGGGCCGGCCCCGTGAAATGTTTTAAAATTGACTATGGCGATGATTGCACTTTGAATTTAATAAAACCGTTGAATGACACACTAAATAGTTGAATTGTAGGATATATGCATTATAACTCAATAGAGCTATTTTTTTAAAAAGAAAGTGGACGCCAGGCCCCAGGGTGACCACGAGAGGGCGCTCTAAGCACAGACTTACCTCCTCCCTTGGGAACAGAATTTCTCAGGCCCCGTCCCAGACCCTGGCCACGCCCCAGGCTCTGACCACGCCCCCAGAACCTGGCCACGCCCCGGCTCTGACCACGCCCCCACACCCTGGCCACGCCCCCGGCTCTGGCCACGCCCCCAGAACCTGGCCACGCCCAGGACATGGCCTGCCCCTCATCCCAGCCACGCCTCTAAGACTCCGGCCACACCCCCAAGGCCCCTGGCCTCTCTCCTGGGCCTTTACGACACCCTAGGGCCCTGGTCACACCCTGAGGCAGCGTCCTCAGCCGCTTCCCAACTTCCCAAACTCTGACTTCAGCGGCATGCACAGACTGACACCCTTACAGACACAGGGCCTCAAACCCATAGACTTTGAAACCACGCTTTTCGTTTGCAATCGTTTTTTTTCTTTTTTGAAATCCTTTTAAACTTACAGAAAAGGTGCAAGAATAGGACACAGACTTCTTGGATACCCCTCATGCGGGTTCCCCAACTGTGAAGCAAATCTCCCAATTGGCTTTATTGGGGGCTCTCTCTGGCTTCCACTCTCCCCCAACCCTCTGACAGTAGGTTCCAGACATTATGCTCCTGCGCCCCCGAACGTTTTGGTGTGTATCTCCACATAGAAGGACAGTGTCTTACTCGGTCACAGGACAGGCATCAAAATCAGGACATTTAGCAGTGACACAAAACTAGTATCCAACAGTGCAGTCTATAGTCAAATCACGCACTGTCTCCAAACTACTTTTAAAATTTTTTTTGGTGAGGAAGATTGGCCGTGAGCTGTCATCTGTTG